ACCACCACCACCACCACCACCACCACCAGCCACTACCCAGCAGCACCACCACGACCACCAGCACCAGCACCACCACCACCAAACCCAGCAAACCCAGCAAACCCAGCAAACCACGAAACCCACCACCACCACCGCCACCACCACCACCACCACCAGCCACTACCCAGCAGCACCACCACGACCACCAGCACCAGCACCACCACCAGCAAACCCAGCAAACCCAGCAAACCACGAAATCCACCACCACCACCACCACCACCACCACCACCACCACCACCACCACCACCACCACCACCACCACCACCACCACCACCACCACCACCACCAGCAAACCCACGAAACCCACGAAAGCCACCAAACCCACGAAACCCACCACCATAACCACCACCAGCAGAACCCACCCCACTCAAAAGAAAAACGCCCAAACCACTAATGCTACAACCCTCCCTCCTGAAAACCCCTAGCACCCCAAACCTAAAGGAATTATAAATACCCAAGCCCCCAAAACCCCAGACCCTTTAAATCCCCACCCCTATAAACTGCATGAAGTTTTCTTTTTGTTTTCTCTATTTATATCTCTCTTCTTCTTACAACTATATATATATATATGCTATCATATGTATATATATATATACAGATACACAAACATAATAGTTTTCTGCTGTTGCTTCTAATGCAGCATTTTATATTTTCTAGCATGCACACAGAAACGGAATTTTGAAATTTGATATGCATATGTAGGTTTTATCTAGCAAAGCAGCTTGGCGAAGCATGCATGGGCATTGTCATTCTCGAAAGCATGTTTGCATCCGCAGCCGCTTGCGAAATCAAAATCAGGGTGAGAAGTGGGGTTTTTAGAAAGTAGCAAGCCCGAGGCACTGAAGGATGCCTCCCAAAAAGACAGTGTTGAAGTCAGTTTTGAAGAACAAGGGTGCAGGCTTGGGAAAGCCAAAAGCAAAGGCGAAGCCCAAAGGCTTGGGATGCCATCGACAGGGTTTTCAAGCTTCAGCACTTTGGTTATAAGCATAGCTTGGGAAAGCTGCTTGGGTCATCAGTTTGGGAAAGCGCGGTTCCCCACACGGCAGAGCGGTCCAGTTCTGTTCTCCTGCCATGAAAAGCATGTTGTCACCTGTAGCATGGTTCAAAGGCTGCGAGAGGCAAAGCCATATGAGCTCGGGGCAAATTCGACTTGACATGTAGCAGGCATGCATGACGAATTGTACTGTGTTTCTTGGAGGCATCTTTGCTCTAGACAGTCTGGAGTTTCCCAGAAACTCAGGTTCCTACAACAATATCCCTTGGCATGTTCGAATAGCTTGCACTTTAGTTCCGAGCTCGTGCCCCTAGCCCATCGATGCCATGGCAGGATGGATGGGGCAAGAAGCCTTCGGAAAACTGGCATGGGGCCGACGGAAGCCAGTGGCCGGCTTGGGAGTGGCAAGAATGGCAGCGGTGGGAAGCTTGGGAAAGCAATACGAAGGACATGGAGAACGGGGTAGCTGCCTTGGAAAAGGCAAGGACTGACATGGAAAGCAGGATAGAGGCCTTGGAAAAGGCATGGGAAAGCAATAGGGAAGGCTTAGAGAGCAGGATAGCGGCCTTGGAAAAGGTGCAGCGGGAAGCTTGGGAAAGCAATATGGAAGACTTGGAAAACAGGGTAGCGGCCTTGGAAAAAAGATCGGGCAATAATAATTGTCCCAGAATGCTAAACTCGCAAGGCAAGTGTGGCAGCAGGCTTCGCATGGTCCCACAAGCTTTGAACTCACCCTCAGAAAGTGAAGCTTCCTCAGAGGGTGAAACTTCCTCAGGGGTTGAGGTTGATGTTGAGGCCTTCGAAGCTGCATACAGGTTCTTGGGAAAAGGCCCCTCCCCACGGACATCCTTACACCTGGAAAAGGATGAGCTCAAAGAGCTTTTAAAAGATGTGGAAAGGCTTGGGAAAGCCCTGGAGGCCAGGGACATGGCTAGCTTCTTGGAAAAGGAGCATGGCGAAGGATCTTTTGACCCTGGACATGATTCGTTTCACGACTCAACCTTGCCGAGAGTTGGAAACTGGGTTTTGTCGTTGTCCGGGTCTTTCTTGGGAAAGAGCTTCATCAGAAATAAATACAATAACACAAGCACACTCGGGAAGTTTTGCGAAAACGTCCATTGGAGAATGCACAACTCCATGGACGAACAAGTACGGCAGAACGGCAAGCTTTGGCTTGTTTTGTTGCTCAGGCTGCGGGAGATCAGCTTTAGTCTCACAGGCAGGCTGTGGTATGAGTTCTCCTGGCGAATGACTTTGCAAGAATTCAGCCGGAAACTGCAGAGCGAACTCTTGCAGTCAGGCTCTTCACCATAAAGGCTCTTGGGAAAGACCGAGACAGCTTGCCTGAGAGACTACAAGCCACGAGCACGCAGCTTGGAAAAGCAACTGAGCCGCCTGGCACATTCGATCAGCATGGGTGTGTGTCGCTGAAAATAGCGAATAGTATCGAATACTGCTGCACCTCTTGAGCCGCAGTGAGAAATCCTGAAGACTGAGCTGCATGTGTGGCTCTTGGAAAAGATCGATGCACAATTGCAGGTTCTTGGAAAAGACTGGCTTGGCGGCTTGGCAAAGCTTCTTGAAAACGAATTATATACTGCTGTCGCGGCTTGGAAAAGCTGCATCGGTAGGCAGCTGACTGCACTACTGGACGGCTCAGCAGTGGTGCTCCAAAAAAGCGTGTTTTGCAAATATTTAGGGTTTGGGGTATACATGCATATTGATTTGCATATTGATTTGTATATTGATTTGTATATTGATTTGTATATTGATTTCTTCATATTGATTTGGATGGTTCGCAGAATCAATATGGTATATTGATTCTGCGAACCATCAAAATCAAGATATTGATTGTAATCAATATGGGATGCTCAGGGGTCAAGTTGACTGGACGCTTGGATGAGGACGGCAGGATCGGATTCCTAGGCCGTGAGATAATCAAGCGTGGCCATGAGATCTTGTTGGCTGTGAAGAAAGAATACGTCGATTCGATCTTCGAGGCTTTTGGGTGGAGCCAGGAGAACCGCAGGAAGATGAAGCCCTGCACTGCACCACCAGACCTCCGATCGATCCTTGACAAGGAAGACCCCGAGAAGCCCTCCGAAGAGCTCTCCCCTGAAGCCGCGAGCCGCTTTAGAAGCACCCTAGGGAAACTAGGCTGGCTTGTGCAAACCAGGGGGGATTTGTGTTATTTTCACTCCATGCTGTCTAGAGGTCAAGCCTGTCCGCGCGCTGTGCATGAGGATTGTATGCGTAAAGTGCTCCGTTGGCTTTTGGAGGTTCCCGATCTTGTTCAGGTCTTTCAGAAGGACTCCAAAGCTCAACCTGGGACTGCAACCCTCGTTGGATTCAGCGACGCTAATTGGGCCTCTGAGCGCTCTACTGGACGGAAGAGCACCAGCGGAGGAGTGATTTACCTGAATGGGAATTGTATCAAGACTTACTCGAGGCTCCAGCCTATCGTAGCACTCTCCAGTGCGGAGTCTGAGCTTTTCGCTATGGTTGAGATGGCGCGCGAGCTTGTAGGATTGGGGCAGCTTTTGGGCCACCTTTTCGAAAGCGTTGCGCAACCCCTATACCTGCCTACGGACAGCTCTTCCGCTCGCCAGGTCAGTATGATGTCCGGCTTCCTGAGAAGGATGCGTCATGTGGACCTTCGTCTTTGCTACTTGCAGGATAAGGTTGAGAACGGCGAGATCCTGGTTACACACGTCCCAGGAACGGATAACGTCGCCGACTTGCAAACAAAGAACTTGAGTGTCGCGCAAACTTGGTATCATATAGGACAGTTGTGTCTTGAGGAACGTCTCACCCGTAGTGACTATCTTCGAGGTGATGCGCCCCCGGTCCGTTGCCTTGTGTTTGCCGCGTTCAAAGGTCTGTTTTCTGCAAGCGTCGATGATCCTTGGAGTGTGTTGGTTGGTCGTTGTCGGTTGCAGACACCGCATTACATTGTGATGGTCGAGTTCTGCACCTCTGGAGAAGCCTGGTTGACTAAGCTTGCTAGCCACTATGGCATCCATGCTATTCCCGTGACGGAAGAAACGGATGGGACTCTTCCGGAGACCATCGAGCTCATTGAGCACGCCCTTCGTGCGGCACACCGTCGGAACATGCATGTTGTTGTGTGGGCCTCGACGCCCTGTACCGGTGGTTCGCCTTGGCAGCGCTATCACCAAGCCCGATCTGCAGATCACTATGATGAAAGGATGAAAGGACTCTTCACAGTCCACAGAAAGCTCTGGAAGAGCTTCTTGAAGCTAGTCAACACATCTGATTCGGCAACTTGGGTCATTGAATGGCCGCAACGTTGTGCTTACTGGGGATGGTCCGCTACGAAGTCATTCCTTAAGATCAATCCGCATGAGACCGCTCTTGTGCATGGTTGTGCCTGCGGTATGGTTGGAATGGACGCACTTCCTGTGAAGAAGGTTTGGAGGTTGTGCTCGAACAGTCATGTTCTCATTCACTGCATGGATAAATTAAAGTGCCCTGGAAACCACGAGCATAGTAAGATGTTCGTTCTGAAGAACACCCAGCACTACCCCGAAGCTTTTGCTCACACAGCTCTTAGGGCTTTGAGTGCTTGGTAGGTGCTGACGCCTCTTTGTACAGCCGCAGCCGTTTTTGGAAGAGCCATAAAACTATCGTGGACCGTGAGAAGATCTACGAGCCCAATACGCAACAGCAGCCACTGGACCGGTACCTTTTCTCGACGACAGGTTCATGAGGGGGAGTTGATTCCACACTCCTGGCTCAAGTTTTCGGCTCAAACTTTGCAGTGCCGACGTGGCCTTTTAGCCTGGAGTCCCTACTTTTGCTAAAGGCCCTGACTGGAACCCAAACCGCAACCTTAAAGGTCGTAGGCTGGCTGTCCAGCAAGGGTTGGGGCGGGGTAGCGCCATACTGCACGTGCTTTCAAGCCGAACACTTGCTCAGCCGTTGTCACAGGTTGAGCTTGCTCGCCATGACTTGGGGAAAAAACGGTGCCAAGGGTGCAGCAACGCCCTACATCGTCTGTCCTCACTGCTCTAGGGCGGGTAAGCAGAGCTGGATTTTCGTAGACAGAGTCCAGCACCACCCCTTTTGCAACCTGTGTGGCAACGCATGGAAGACAAAGGGTGCTCCGGTCACTCAAAGACTGCGCCCGCGGGGTCCCAAGAAGAACAGGGACAGAAGCGCAACCACTGAGAGTGCCACCCAAAGCCCCCAACGGCCTAGGAATCAAGAGGGCAACCTCTCCAAAGCCGTCACGACACTTTGGCAGAAGTTTCCCCCAGAGGTCCAGAAGGAACTGAGCGAGGCAGGTTTCCAAGCAGGCCGGCAGCCGAGTCCGCCTCCAGGCCTCCAGTCTGGAAAAGGCAACGGGGCAAAGGGTGGGCTTGACGAGCAGGCCGAAGCCTCTAAGAACCTGTGGGATTCTGCGTCTGATGATCAGAAGAAGCTGATGCGCCAAGCTGGCATCCCTGAGCCGGTTGCGTCGGAGCCAACAGACCTTGCGGCCCTTTGCAAGAAGCACTTGGAGTCAATGCCGCCCTCGATCCAGCAAGCCCTTGCAGCACTTGATCCTCCGGCCCCCACGCAGACTCAGCAGATTGAGATTGCAACTCGTCGCTTTAAGCAGAGCACTACGGACTTGCGACTGATGATCCAGCAAACTGCTGCCTTACAGATTCGCATAGACCGCGCCAAAGCAACCTACCAGGAGCTGCTTGAGAAGATGAAGGTTTGCCAATCTGATTTGCAGAGCAAACAAGCTGAAGTCACGGCTATGCAGTCGGAGTTGGAAGCCACACTCCGTGCTGATGCTTCGGGTCTGGAGGACCCCGCGCGCAAGGACGACCCCTTGGAAGGGCTTCTAGATACGCTTGCCAAAGTTGGAATTGTCCTGACCCAGGAGCAGAAGGAGCTTTACGAGGAGGCCCAGCGCGGCAAGCTTAATGATGGGCAGCAGAATATGGAAGTTGAAGCCACAAACCAGCCTGGTTTGACGGCTCCGACCCGTGCCCCGCTGAGCCAAACTCTGCCAGAACACAAGGGCACTGAGCCGCATGAGCAAACCAAGCCCAGGTCCAGGAGCCGAGGCCGTAGCACGCAGCAAGGTTAGGGAGTGGGGCTGGGGGTCCAGGTTAGGTCTGTTTTCGAGGAAGGTCCTTTAAGTGGGGAGAGTGGGCAACCTGCTTGTGCATTTCAGCCTGCCCTTCAGCTTGATCAAGACGTTTCCTGTGCCCCTGCGTCCAGCTCTCAGCCATGCGGGTTTTCCGGCGAATCGGTTAAGCGACCCATTTCTTTGTACAGTGATTTGTTTTCATTGGGGGAGTGCCAACCTCAGCAGCCCAAGTCCTTAGAGAAGGTTTCAGGGTATGTTGAGGCTTACTCACAATTTTGCAACACAGACCTTGTATGGGGTCAGTTTTGGTTGCCAGGTTTTTCTGGTCAGGAAGAATGGGATTCTTGTGGGGATCTGAGTGCCTGGCAGACTGTTACCAAAGGATTGCGCCACAGCACCCCGCTGCAGTCCCAGGACACCCAACTCATCACAGGGCCCCAGTTCTGGCCCCCATCTTTCTCGACAACTGAGTTTGATGAGGTCCCTGTGACCGGTGCTTCTCCAATCTCTGCTTTTGTGGCCACAACCTCAGCAACGGCATCTCAAGTTGAGGAGTTTCCTCGCTTACAGGCGTCGGGGAGCCATGCCGAGGTTGGGGTCACCCGCAAACGTAATAAAACCAGACGCAGAGCGAAAAAGCCCAAACACATTAGGGTACCCTTTTCTCAGCTTGCCCCTTGTGAAATGCCACCTGAGGTGCCACCTTTGGCAAGCCCACACAGCCAGTGGCGAAAACTCGAAGGCCAGGTGTGGGAGGCTGTCCAGAACCCAGATCTGTTGGGAGCAACTTCAGAGGTTGTCGGCCACCTTCTTGATCAGGTTGAGCAGGGCAGCTTAGGTTGGTGGCTGTGCCAGGAGATCTTGGCCCTCCAACGTTCTTTTGACTTGACTTTGCTCTTGCTTGTTGCTCGGGGCTTTGAAGTTTTGTGCAAATCGCAGCCACAGGGGCACAGGCAAATGCGAGTCACATCTTGCAACATTACTTCTTGGAGACCAGAAGTCAAGCAATGGTTTTCAGCTCAAGGGGATGTTATCTTGATTCAGGAGCACCATCTTTTGGAGTCCCAAGTTGTTGCTGAAATCTCGTCTATGGCTGCCATGGGCTTCGACTCCTTCCTTTTGCCCGCAGCCCCTGGGGAAGGCCGACGGAATAGCTCTAGAGGCGGAGTTGGGGTTTTTGTTAGAGCCCACCTGGGAGCCCGTTTGCGAGGTCAGTATACCAACCAAGGTTGTGGCTACGTAGCGGTGACGCTACGCACACAAGGGGCTGACTTGACAGTAGTTAGCCTGTACCTCCAGTCTTCCTCCGGCTTCGGGTCCCCGGTCAACTCTGACATCCTTGCATCTCTGCGCGCAATTCGTCAATCTGTGAGGGGCCCAATCCTGATAGGTGGAGACTGGAACTCGCCTTTGAAGGATTTGTTGGACACTGCCATTTTTCAAAGTTTGTCCCTGGAACCAATTGGGCCCAACCAAGCCACCTGTGGTGACAATGAGCTTGATTTTCTGGCTGTATCACACTGCCTGGAAGGTTTGCTCCGAGTTGATGCCTCCTGGGATGTTCCTTTCAAGCCACATGCAGCAATCCAAGTTGCCCTCAATGTGGGCGCTTTCCAGCTCACCACTCCACAGCTTCCCTCCTTTGTGCTCTCCTTCAGGGAAGAACCGCTTGATTATATACAGGTTGAGGAGACCCTCGCCTCTTTGCCGGATACCACCTTTTCGGCTGACCCCCTGAGCAATCGACTGGCTTCCATTTCCAGTTCGGTGGAGCACAGTCTTTTGCAATCGTCCCAGGGTATTGGTCGCCAACTCCAAGTTGAATTCCTCCCAGCTGTTCCTCGCATGTCCCAGTTCGCATGGGAAGGTTCTTGCCAGGCTTTTTGGCACCGGGTACAATTTCTGTGCCAGGGAGACCACCCCAAACGTCGAGAGCAATGCCAGGAGTATTTGCCGCAGATCCTGGACCACTGGCAGGGCAACTCGGAGGAGGCTGTTTCTTTTCTTTCTACGCTCCAGGCCTGTCTCTCGGAGCAGGCTGCTGTTCCCGAGCCCGTCCAGCAATTATTGCAGGAGCAATTTCTGCTGGCCTCTAAAGTTCACCAGGATGCCCAGACCAAGTCGTACAGGTCGTGGTTGCAGGGAGCCCAAGAAAAAGGGATGGCCCCCCTTTTCAAGACGATCAAAAAAGGTGAAATCACCACTGCACGTCCCTTTCGGGATCTGTCCGCAGAGGTCCGCGCCCTGGCTAGAACCAAACTATGGCTCCGCACTTGGAAAGGCGTACTTAGAGTTGAGGACCTTCCTCCTCTTCCACACGCAGAGCAACAGGCTCGCGGAAAGCTACGGGAACTGGCTGCTCAGCAGGTCGCTACCCTGAGCCCCATTTCCCCGGAACAGCTGCAACAAAGGTTTTCCAAAGGCAGGGTCACTGCCCCAGGACCGGACGGCTGGAGCAAGTCCCTTCTCAAGAAATTGACTTGGCCAATGCTTCAGGACATCGCTGAATTTTATCAGGAGCTCGAAAGAGGCCTCCGAGTCCCGCAGCAGTTTCTCCTGACACAAGTTTGTATGCTGCCCAAATCGGCTACTGCTGAGAGACCTATCTCTTTAACTCACGTTTTGTGGAGGGACTACTGCAGAGCCAGGTGGTCCCTGATCCAAGAGTGGACGGTCTCCTACCAGGCCCTGGCTCCTTGGGATGCCGCAGTGCCAGGTCGAACATCTTTAGACATCGGCATCCGCCGGTTGCTGTGGGCCGAAGCCTCCCGAACTCAGTCCAAACACTTTGTAGGACTCTTTCTTGATATCAAAGGTTTCTATGATTGTGTAGTTTGGGCCTCGGTAGTCGACACCGGACTCCTGTTGCAGTTCCCACCTTTGCTTTTGGAGCTTTCCCTTCAAATTTATGGTGGGACACGATTTGTCTCAGCCGAAAATTCGGTTTCGCCGGGAATCATTCCCACAGTTGGGTTGCTTCAGGGTTGCCCTGTTGCGCCGGTGGTTTCGAAACTGGCTTTGTTTGTCCCAATCAGGGACCTTCAGGCTACTGGCCTCACTCACAACATCGACCAGTGGCTTGATGACATTTCGGCTGACGTGGTAGGGTCCACTGCTTCTAACACGGCTCACAAAGCCCTCAAGACATTTCGTATACTGCGAGACTCTCTTGCGGAACGAAATCTTCAGGTTTCCTTGGAAAAAACCAAGTTTCTTTGCTCAGACTCTGCCACCTCTCAAGTTCTTGCGCGTCTGCGTTCGGACCAAGATCCTGGCATTACTCTGTTAGCCAAAGACTTAGGGGTTGACAGCAATGCTGGCAGACGCCGCAGGCTTGCCACCTCTCTTGGCAGGCACAAGAAGGCGCAAGGCCGCCACAAGCGCCTTCGTGCTTTAGGTGTTGATTCGCATTGTTCACGCACGAGGGTTGTGCGCGGATCCATCATGACATGTGCCACCTATGGCCATCAGGCACAGGGTGTTAGTCCCAAACGGTTGAAATGGCACCGCGCTGTGCTGGCTGGTAGCTTAGGACGCCAACATCTAGGAGGAACCCTGACCGTCTTGGAGATGTTCTCCCACAGATTTCCGGATCCCCGAGAGCAGATCATTTGTGAGCATTTGCAAGTTTTTCTTCGTATTCTTGGCCGTTCTCCTTCCATTTGGGAGGAAGTTCAAAGGTCCTGGCCCTTGGTCAAATCCAGGTTGGAGGCTTCGCCTCACCCTTGGAAAATCGTTGCCGGACCCATTTCGGCCATGATTCAGTATGCCAGGGATATGGGATGGGATGTCCAGTCCCCGGAAGTCTGGCATATTGATGGCCACCCCTGGCCCGTTGACTTCAGCCCCTTTCTTTTTCAGGAGCTGCGGCGCAAGATTCGGTCTACCATCAAGAGCGAAAGGTTGCGAGCCATCTCTGGCCAACATGGCGGCCAAGGAGCTCAGGAGGGTGTAGATTTCACAATTCATCGCCGCATTGCTTTAAAGAAGACCAAACGTCTGACCTTCTACAGGTCAATCTGGCAAGGTGCAGTTGTGCATGCGGGAAGTGGTGGCCACCCCAAGTGCCCTTACTGTAAGGATCGGGGCCTTGATTCAGAAAACACACTACAACATGTGCTGTGGGACTGCCCCAGATGGGCCAGACAGCCAAAGCTTCCCAGGCATCTTGAACAAATGCGTCAGTCCCATCCTGCGCCCTGCCTTTGGTTGCGAGCCCTTCCCCCTCTTGCCTATGTCTCCTCGCCACTTCAGAACGCTGAGGATAGGTATGCGGGCACCTGGCCGTCACAGCCCTGGGACTCGGATCTTGTCATTGGTACTGATGCCAGTGGCGGAAAATTTTCTTCCGATCCCAGATTGCGGACCATTGGATGGGCTGTGATTCTAGCACGCAAAACGGGCCAAAGCATCACAATTATTGCAACTGCGAGCGGGGTTTTGCCTCGGCCGGCCACGGTTCTAGATGGGGAGGTTCATGCCATTGTTAAGGCCCATGAGCTTTGCCCAGGCCTGACGGATCTTACTACGGACTCTCGGGTAGCTTGCAAGCAGGCTGCAGCTAGGGCGGTTACATCCAAGCATTCCATGTTTTGGAAACCCCAATGGCAGAACATATCCCCACAACATCTTCATTGGGTCAAGGCCCACTTGGATGTAGGAAAATTTGCTGAAAAGTTTGGAAAAGATGAGGTTTGGCGTTGGCATTTGAATCAGGAAGCTGACCAACTTGCTGGGTCCAGGGCTGACCAAGCTTTGCACCCTGATGCCAAAAAGCAAGTCAGGCAAGTTGACACGCTGGTTTCCACCCTTTCCCAGCTACTTAGCCAGAGGGCGGAGATTTTGATTACTACGCAGGACAAGAAGACTATTTTCTGCAAGCGCCAGCCAAAACCTCCAACCCTCAACAAAAGGCAACAGATTGAGCAACTCGTCAGCCAAACCGTCTCTCCGCTGGGACACCAGTGGGAAATTCGGAGTCAGCACCCTACGAACCTCACAGCCATGTGTGGGAAATGTGGCCTTTACCTGCAGCAAGTGGACCCTCCTTCACTGTTCCAGCAGGTCCTTGCCCAGCCGTGCTTGGGAAGGGAAGGTCGTCCCCCGGAGCACCTGGCCTGTCACTCTTCCCATCAGCTTGTTTCCATTGGCAAAGCTTGGCAGTGTAAAGTGTGTGAAGGCATTTTGCCAGCGCGGGCAAAGAAAGTCCCGGGGCTCCTCCAGTCCCTGTGTGTGACCCGTAAACACACTAACAAACTGACTAAGTTCACCAAGAGTTTGTTAAGTGGCGTAGGGGTTCCGGAGTCACTACCTGCCTCCAAGAAGGCTAGCAAGCTTTCTAAGGAGACTCTCCCAAAAGCCCAAAACCTTAGCAACTTCTTTGCAACACCACTTAACAGGGTTGAGGCCACTCCCCTGCAAACTCTCCCTCCCGATGACCCTCCCTTGCAGAACATCGTCAGGATTGAGCCTCCCTCTCCTGCTGTCCGCGATTACCGGGATCCTGGAAGCCCAGAGCTTGGAGACTTACGGGCTGCTGGCTCCATTGTTCGCAAGGTGAAGTTCCAAAATCCATCCAACCATTGTTACACCAATTCTCTGGTGGTTGGTTTCTTTTGGGTTGACCTGCTCCTTGAAGCCTCCAGCCCCTTTGCTGGATCCCCCATCCAGGGCATCCTGCGATGGTTGAAAGATCAGCGCAAAGTCGAGCTGTGGCAGTCCCTGGTTTGGAAGAGATTAGTTGCAGGCCAGGGTCGATGGGAATCCCCAAACAGCCAGCATGATGTTTGTCAACTTCTCATGCACCTTTCTTCGGGGCTTCCCCGTGACCTCTCTTGCGTTTCATGGCGAGCTCATGCTCCCAATGCACCTCACCACGAGGGTAACCTTTTCCCACTTCCTCTTCACCTCCCGGAGCACGAAGTCTCTATGAGGGAACTTCTGGCAAATTGGCAACAAGGTGGAGAAGTGAAAATCCTTACTCACCCGCCTTTGATTGCATTGCAGCTTCTGAGGTTTGTTAGGGAAGGGGGGGGTTTTCGGAGGCTCGAGAACCCAGTTGGTTTTGAGGATCCTTGTGTGCTTGAGGGATTGGATGGGGAACTTCTTCGTTACTACCCCAAGGCCGTGGTCTCGCATTTAGGCAACTCCCCGACCTCTGGACATTATCGAACTTTACTTCTCCCCTCCAAGCTCATTACTGATGATGGGGTAGGTGCTGTTTGCGCCAAGCCTGCAGATGTAGCCTGGTCTAAGTGCTACTCGTACCTGGTTTTGCTAACCCTCCATGTCTGAGCCTTCTCGCAGCTTTTGGCTCCAAGATGGGTAAAGGAAAAGGGAAGAATAAGCCAGGGAAGGGGCAGAATGCCCCTTTCGAGGACCCGGTAACGGAACAGCGGTACCAGGCCCTCTTGCAGCATCGTTTTAGTGAGGGCAAACCTGCTATTTCGAGATCAAGGTACTCCAGGCAAAGCCAACATTCAGGTACCGACCGGGAACCTCCGGCTTCTGGTCCCAACTTGTCAAGGTCGGTGGAGGCCCCTATCACGAGGCCAAAAGCCGCACCCAAGCCGGGGGTAGCCCGAACCCCACCACCACCACCGCCAAAGCGGCAACGCACAGAGGCCCAGGCTGAGGAGGCCTCGCCAAGAGCCTCCGGTTCCAATCTGCAGGCTGAGGTGCCCTCGCCTTCCAATGCTGATGAACCAGGCCTAGCCTCCACAAATCAGGTTGAGCAGGTCTCACCTGCACCAACCTCTCCTTTGGGGCCTGAGCAGGATGAGGTGCTGACCTCTCCTAAACAGGAACCTGCCCAGAGTTCTCAGACTGAGGTTCCTTCACCGGCAACCAAGCCGGATACAGATGCTGGTGATCCAGGCCCGGCCGCCACAACCCAGGTTGAGAAGGTCTCGCCTGAACCGGCCTCTCCCTCGGAGCATGAGCAGGAAGAGGTACTGACCTCTCCTAAGCAGGAGCCTGCCCAGAGCTCCCAGGTTGAGGTTACCTCACCGGCACCCAAGCCGGATACAGAAGGCAAGGCTTCCAAAACACAGGTTGAGAAGATCTCACCTGAGCCAGCCTCTTCTTTGGTCCCTGAGCAGGTTGAGGAACCCTCACCTCATCCAGATCCTGTTTCCCAGTGACCAGGTTGAGGCAAACTCACCGGCCACCACCAAGTTTTCGGAGGAGGCTCCATCCCCAGCGGAGTCCCTTCCAGGCCCAGATCCGGGAATCAAGGGCGAGGACCTCAGAAGGGAGCCAGGTTCGGAGGTTCCCTTGGAGCTTCTCTACAAGCAGCCCCTGAAGATCCCGAGATCCCTCCGAGGCGTGTCCCTTAACAAAAAGGGCTCGTCTGGCACGCCTTGGACTTTTTACACTCCGGCGGAGCTGGAGGACGAGCATGGAGGGGTATGGGCCGTTTTGGGGGTAGGTGGCAGTCGTGTCACCTTGGAGCCCCCGGCTCAATGGGGACTTGGAGCCGATTTTCAGGTCCTCAAACTGGGGCTCGCCGAGGACATGGGCCAGGAGCAGATTTTTCTGGAGGGACTATCCAGAGATTTCACCTTTATCCCTCGACCGGGGACTTCTGGTGATGTTCTGCTCACCCTGTCAGAGAATGGCCATGGCAAGGGTTTTACCCTACGGGGCCGCGCGGTTTTCTACAGGCGGGTCATCCCTGTGGCTTCTCCGCAGGGAAGGCTTAGGACACTTGATGTCCCGGACCTCCTGGCTTTGTTAAGTGTGGTCGCGTTTTTGAGTGCCTGCCATATCCGCTTGTCGGATCTTGGGGAGCACAATGTAGGTTGGGCCCTCCCGACCTTGGCGCGCACACGCGCCGAGAACATGGCGCTTCAAAGTGCAAAGCTGCGCTCGGCCGACTACGTCCAGGTTTGTTTGTACGACGGGGGCCGCTGGAGAGAAGCGCAGCACAAGCACTGGCCTGGGAAGGCGGCAACCAAGGGGCTCCTTAGCCTATGTGCCAAACATGATATGTTTGGTCCATGGGTGGAAGAACAAATCCACCTCTATGGCTCCCCCGAGGTTTTGTGCAAGGTCTTCCTCCACCGCCTCCAGGACTTTCCGCACCACTTTGAGGGCTTAAAGGACTCGGGGTTCTTGACCTACCTCCCCTTGTGCTACAAGGTTGGTATGGTCATCCCCCTGAGCAACCCTTGGAGCAATCCGGATGATACAACCTGGCAGCTCGTTCCGATCCCTAGTTTGGACACCCCAACCAGTTGAGAAACCCTGAAGGGTTTTAAGGTGAGGTGACTCCCTTAAGCTTGCAAGCCGCTCCAGGGTGAGGAGACTCCCCTTTCCAGCCTTAATTCAACGAGCCAATTTGGTCACAAGCCTAAGTCTGCTCAAGGTGAGGTTACTCCCTTGCTCTACAAGCCAACAACGTGAGGAGACTCCGTGGACTTGGAAAAGCTACAAGGTTGAGACACCTCCCTTGCAACCCCCTTTGTTGCCGCCTAGCTCAAAGTGAGGAGACTCCTTGGAAGGTAGGCTGAGGGCAACCGCAGTAGGCAGGTGAGCTCGACCAGTCTGTGCCGAGGGTGCTGTTTAAGGACATCACCTGATGTCAGACTGGTCTAGAGAAACTCGCCGCTCCCAAAGTGGACTAGGCTCCGAAATCAGGGTGAGGTGACTCCCCTAAAGCTCCGTCTCACCCTGACTCGAACTGGGCTCAGCCCAGCGGACCGACCGCTCGAGCGTGATTCCACACTCCGTTGAAGGGAAAGCGTCGCTCCCTGCGCCTTGTTGAGGGGAGTGCGTGGGCCCCGCGCTAAAGGTACCGAATTGAGGGGCGCTGCTCTGTGCAAGGTGAGGTTGAGGAACCCCTGGGCTGTGAGGGCTTGAGGCTAGGCACTTTACGGCATGTTGCCTCGCCTAGCTTCACTGAGTGACCTCGCCTCAGGGCTGAGGTCACTGCAAGCTGAGTGCCAGACTGAGGGTAGTGTCAGTTAGGTTGTACAGCTTTCACCTCTCAATGTTCGGCTTGAGCACCTGTCAGGGTTTGTCTTTCCCAAGAAGGGCTTGAGGAGTCTTGTCACTCTCCTTGCCAGTACAGTAGGGCTCTGACAGAGTGCTTTCTTGGGGCTGAGGTCTTTTTGACTTCGCCCAGGGTCTGTGCAGGACTAGGTTGTGCATACCACTTAATTCGGTGCAGCTTTTCGGACAGGCCTCTGGCCGTGGACAAGCGCCACTGGAATGATTCCACACTCCGTGCTGATGCTTCGGGTCTGGAGGACCCCGCGCGCAAGGACGACCCCTTGGAAGGGCTTCTAGATACGCTTGCCAAAGTTGGGATTGTCCTGACCCAGGAGCAGAAGGAGCTTTACGAGGAGGCCCAGCGCGGTAAGCTTAACGATGGGCAGCAGAATATTGAAGTTGAAGCCACAAACCAGCCTGGTTTGACGGCTCCGACCCGTGCCCCGCTGAGCCAAACTCTGCCAGAACACAAGGGCACTGAGCCGCATGAGCAAGCCAAGCCCAGGTCCAGGAGCCGAGGCCGTAGCACGCAGCAAGGTTAGGGAGCGGGGCTGGGGGTCCAGGTTAGGTCTGTTTTCGAGGAAGGTCCTTTAAGTGGGGAGAGTGGGCAACCTGCTTGTGCATTTCAGCCTGCCCTTCTGCTTGATCAAGACGTTTCCTGTGCCCCTGCGTCCAGCTCTCAGCCATGCGGGTTTTCCGGCGAATCGGTTAAGAGACCCATTTCTTTGTACAGTGATTTGTTTTCATTGGGGGAGTGCCAACCTCAGCAGCCCAAGTCCTTAGAGAAGGTTTCAGGGTATGTTGAGGCTTACTCACAATTTTGCAACACCGACCTTGTATGGGATCAGTTTTGGTTACCTGGTTTTTCTGGTAAGGAAGACTGGGATTCTTTTGGGGATTTGAGTGCCTGGCAGACTGTTACCAAAGGATTACGCCACAGCACCCCGCTGCAGTCCCAAGACACCCAACTCATCACTGGACCCCAATTTTGGCCCCCGTCTTTCTCGACAACTGAGTTTGATGAGGTCCCTGTGACCGGTGCTTCTTCAATCTCTGCCTTTGTGGCCACAACCTCAGCAACGGCATCTCAAGTTGAGGAGTTTCCTCGCTTACAGGCGTCGGGGAGCCACGCCGAGGTTGGGGTCACCCGCAAACGTAATAAAACCAGGCGCAGAGCGAAACAGCCCAAACACATTAGGGTGCCATTCTCTCAGCTTGCCCTTTGTGAGATGCCACCTGAGTTGCCACCGTCGGCAAGCCCACACAGCCAGTGGCGAACACTCGAAGGCCAGGTGTGGGAGGCTGTCCAGAACCCAGGTCTGTTGGGAGCAACTTCGGAGTTGGTTGCCCACCTTCTTGATCAGGTTGAGCAGGGCAGCTTAGGTTGGTGGCTGTGCCAAGAGCTCTTGGCCCTCCAACGTTCTTTTGACTTGACTTTGCTCTTGCTTGTTGCTCGGGGCTTTGAAGTTTTGCGCAAATCGCAGCCACAGGGGCACAGGCAAATGCGAGTCACATCTTGCAACATCACTTCTTGGAGGCCAGAAGTCAAGCAATGGTTTTCAGCTCAAGGGGATGTTATCTTGATTCAGGAGCACCACCTTTTGGAGTCCCAAATTGTTGCTGAAATTTCGTCTATGGCTGCCATGGGCTTTGACTCCTTCCTTGTGCCCGCAGCCCCTGGGGAGGGCCGACGGAATAGCTCTAGAGGCGGAGTAGGGGTTTTAGTTAGAGCCCACCTGGGAGCCCGTTTGCGAGGCCAGTATACCAACCAAGGTTGCGGTTACGTGGCGGTGACGCTACGCACACAAGGGGCTGACTTGACAGTAGTCAGCCTGTACCTCCAGTCCTCCTCCGGCTTCGGGTCCCCGGTCAACTCTGACATCCTAGCATCTCTACGCGCAATTCGTCAATCTGTGAGGGGCCCAATCCTGATAGGTGGAGACTGGAACTCGCCTTTGAAGGAATTGTTGGACACTGCCATTTTTCAAAGTTTGTCCCTTGAACCAATTGGGCCCAACAAAGCCACATGTGGTGATAATGAGCTTGATTTTCTGGCTGTATCACACTGCCTGGAAGGTTTGCTCCGGGTTGATGCCTCCTGGGATGTTCCTTTCAAGCCACATGCAGCAATCCAAGTTGCCCTTAATGTGGGCGCTTTCCAGCTCACCACCCCACAGCTTCCCTCCTTTGTGCTTTCCTTCCGGGAAGAACCGCTTGATTACATGCAGGTTGAGGAGACCCTCGCCTCTTTGCCCGATACCACCTTGTCGGCTGACCCCCTGAGCAATCGACTGGCTTCCATTTCCAGTTCAGTGGAGCACAGTCTTTTGCAATCGTCCCAGGGTATTGGTCGCCAACTCCAAGTTGAATTCCTCCCAGCTGTTCCTCGCATGTCTCAGTTCGCATGGGAAGGCTCTTGCCAGGCTTTTTGGCACCGGGTGCAATTTCTGTGCCAGGGAGACCACCCCAAACGTCGAGAGCAATGCCAGGAGTATTTGCCGCAGATCCTGGACCACTGGCAGGGCAACTCGGAGGAGGCTGTTGCCTTTCTTTCTACGCTCCAGGCCTGTCTCTCGGAGCAGGCTGCTGTTCCCGAGCCCGTCCAGCAATTATTGCAGGAGCAATTTCTGCTGGCCTCTAAAGTTCACCAGGATGCCCAGACCAAGTCGTACAGGTCGTGGTTGCAGGGAGCCCAAGAAAAAGGGATGGCTCCCCTTTTCAAGACGATCAAAAAAGGTGAAATCACCACTGCACGCCCCTTTCGGGATCTATCCGCAGAGGTCCGCGCCCTGGCTAGAACCAAACTATGGCTCCGCACTTGGAAAGGCGTACTTAGAGTTGAGGACCTTCCTCCTCTTCCACACGCAGAGCAACAGGCTCGCGGAAAGCTACGGGAACTGGCTGCTCAGCAGGTAGCTACCCTGAGCCCCATTTCCCCGGACCAGCTGCAACAAAGGTTCTCCAAAGGCAGGGTCACTGCCCCAGGACCGGATGGCTGGAGCAAGTCCCTTCTCAAGAAATTGACTTGGCCAATGCTTCAGGACATCGCTGAATTTTATCAGGAGCTCGAAAGAGGCCTCCGAGTCCCGCAGCAGTTCCTCCTGACACAAGTTTGTATGCTGCCCAAATCGGCTACTGCTGAGAGACCTATCTCTTTAACTCACGTTTTGTGGAGGGACTACTGCAGAGCCAGGTGGTCCCTGATCCAAGAGTGGACGGTCTCCTACCAGGCCCTGGCTCCTTGGGATGCCGCAGTGCCAGGACGAACATCACTAGACATCGGCATCCGCCGTTTGCTGTGGGCCGAAGCCTCCCGAACTCAGTCCAAACACTTTGTAGGACTCTTTCTTGATATCAAAGGCTTCTATGATTGTGTTGTTTGGGCCTCGGTAGTCGACACCGGACTCCTGCTGCAGTTCCCACCTTTGCTTTTGGAGCTTTCCCTTCAAATTTATGGTGGGACACGATTTGTCTCAGCCGAAAATTCAGTTTCGCCGGGAATAATTCCCACAGTTGGGTTGCTTCAGGGTTGCCCTGTTGCGCCGGTGGTTTCGAAACTGGCTTTGTTTGTCCCAATCAGGGACCTTCAGGCTACTGGCCTCACTCACAACATAGACCAGTGGCTGGATGACATTTCGGCTGACGTGGTAGGTTCCACTGCTTCTAACACGGCTCACAAAGCCCTCAAGACATTTCGAATACTGCGAGATTCTCTTGCGGAACGAAATCTTCAGGTTTCCTTGGAGAAAACCAAGTTTCTTTGCTCAGATTCTGCCACCTCTCAAGTTCTTGAGCGTCTGCGTTCGGACCAAGATCCTGGCATTACTCTGTTAGCCAAAGACTTAGGGGTTGACAGCAATGCTGGCAGACGCCGCAGGCTTGCCACCTCTCTGGCAGGCACAAGAAGGCGCAAGGCCGCCACAAGCGCCTTCGTGCTTTAGGTGTTGATTCGCATTGTTCACGCACTAGGGTTGTGCGCGGATCCATCCTGACATGTGCCACCTATGGCCATCAGGCACAGGGTGTTAGCCCCAAAAGGTTGAAATGGCACCGCGCTGTGCTGGCTGGTAGCCTAGGACGCCAACATCTGGGAGGAACCCTGACTGTCTTGGAGATGTTCTCCCACAGATTTCCGGATCCCCGAGAGCAGATCATTTGTGAGCACCTCCAAGTCTTCCTTCGGATTTTGGGCCGTTCTCCTTCCATTTGGGAGGAAGTTCAAAGGTCCTGGCCCTTGGTCAAATCCAGGTTGGAGGCTTCGCCTCACCCTTGGAAAATCGTTGCCGGACCCATTTCGGCCATGATTCAGTATGCCAGGGACATGGGATGGGATGTCCAGTCCCCGGAAGTCTGGTATATTGATGGCCACCCCTGGCCCGTTGACTTCAGCCCCTTTCTTTTTCAGGAGCTGCGGCGCAAGATTCGGTCTACCATCAAGGGCGAAAGATTGCGAGCCATCTCTTGCCAACATGGCGGTCAAGGAGCTCAGGATGGTGTAGATTTTACAATTCATCGCCGCATTGCTTTAAAGAAGACCAAACGTCTGACCTTCTACCGGTCAATCTGGCAAGGAGCAGTTGTGCATGCCGGAAGTGGTGGCCACCCCAAGTGCCCTTACTGCAAGGATCGGGGCATTGAGTCAGACAACACACTACAACATGTGCTATGGGACTGCCCCAGATGGACTAGACAGCCAAAGCTTCCCCGGCATCTTGAACAAATGCGGCAGTCCCATCCTGCGCCATGCCTTTGGTTGCGAGCCCTTCCCCCTCTTGCCTACGTTTCCTCGCCACTTCAGAACGCTGAGGATAGGTATGAGGGCACCTGGCCGTCACAGCCCTGGGACTCGGATTTTGTCATCGGCACCGATGCCAGTGGTGGCAAATTCTCTTCCGATCCCAGATTGAGGACCATTGGATGGGCTGTGATTCTAGCACGTAAAACGGGCCAAAGCATCACAGTTATCGCAACTGCGAGCGGGGTTTTGCCTCGGCCGGCCACGGTTCTAGATGGGGAGGTCCATGCCATTGTCAAGGCCCATGAGCTTTGCCCGGGCCTGACGGATCTTACTACAGATTCTCGGGTAGCTTGCAAGCAGGCCGCAGCTAAGGCGGTTACATCCAAGCATTCCATGTTTTGGAAACCCCAATGGCAGAGCATCTCCCCACAACACCTTCATTGGGTCAAGGCCCACTTGGATGTAGGAAAATTTGCTGAAAAGTTTGGAAAAGATGAGGTTTGGCGTTGGCATTTGAATCAGGAAGCTGACCAGCTTGCCGGGTCCAGGGCTGACCAAGCTTTGCACCCTGATGCCAGAAAGCAAGTCAGGCAAGTTGACACGCTGGTTTCCACCCTTTCCCAGCTACTTAGTCAGAGGGCGGAGATTTTGATTACTACGCAGGATAAGAAGACTATTTTCTGCAAGCGCCAGCCAAAACCTCCAACCCTTAACAAAAGGCAGCAGATTGAGCAACTCGTCAGCCAAACCGTCTCTCCGCAGGGACACCAGTGGGAAATTCGGAGTCAGCACCCTACGAACCTCACAGCCATGTGTGGGAAATGTGGCCTTTACCTGCAGCAAGTTGACCCTCCTTCACTGTTCCAGCAGGTCCTTGCACAGCCGTGCCTGGGAGGGGAAGGTCGTCCCCCGGAGCACCTGGCCTGTCACTCCTCCCATCAGCTTGTTTCCATAGGCAAAGCTTGGCAGTGTAAAGTGTGTGAAGGCATTTTGCCAGCGCGGGCAAAGAAAGTCCCGGGGCTCCTCCAGTCCCTGTGTGCGACCCGTAAACACACTAACAAACTGACTAAGTTCACCAAGAGTCTGTTAAGTGGTGTAGGGGTTCCGGAGTCACTACCTGCCTCCAAGAAGGCTAGCAAGCTTTCTAAGGAGACACTCCCAAAAGCCCGAAACCTTAGCAACTTCTTTGCAACACCACTTAACAGGGTTGAGGCCACTCCCCTGCAAACTCTCACTTCCGATGACCCTCCCTTGCAGAACATGGTGAGGATTGAGCCTCCCTCTCCTGCTGTCCGGGCTCACCGGGATTCTGGTAGCCCAGAGCTTGGAGACTTAAGGGCTGCTGGCTCCATTGTTCGCAAGGTGAAGTTCCAAAATCCATCCAATCATTGTTACACCAATTCTTTGGTGGTTGCTTTCTTTTGGATTGACCTGCTCCTTGATGCCTCCAGCCCCTTTGCTGGATCCCCCATCCAGGGCATTCTGCGATGGTTGAAAGATCAACGCAAAGTCGAGCTGTGGCAGTCCCTGGTTTGGAAGAGATTAGTTGCAGGCCAGGGTCGATGGGAGTCCCCAAACAGCCAGCATGATGTTTGTCAACTTCTCATGCACCTTTCTTCGGGGTTTCCCCGTGACCTCTCTTGCGTTTCATGGAGAGCTCGAGATCCCAATGCAACTTTTTCCCACTTCCTCTTCACCTCCCGGAGCACGAAGTCTCTATGAGGGAACTCTTGGCAAGTTGGCAACAAGGTGGAGAAGTGAAAATCCTTACTCACCCGCCTTTGATTGCATTGCAGCTTTTGAGGTTTGTTAGGGACGGGGGGGGTTTTCGGAGGCTCGAGAACCCAGTTGATTTTGAGGATCCTTGTGTGCTTGAGGGATTGGATGGGGAACTTCTTCGTTACTACCCCAAGGCCGTGGTCTCGCATTTAGGCAACTCCCCGACCTCTGGACATTATCGTACATTACTTCTCCCCTCCAAGCTTATTACTGATGATGGGGTAGGTGCTGTTTGCGCCAAGCCTGCAGATGTAGCCTGGTCTAAGTGCTACTCGTACCTGGTTTTGCTAACCCTCCATGTCTGAGCCTTCTCGCAGCTTTTGGCTCCAAGATGGGTAAAGGAAAAGGGAAGAACAAGCCAGGGAAGGGGCAGAATGCCCCTTTCGAGGACCCGGTAACGGAACAGCGGTACCAGGCCCTCTTGCAGCATCGTTTTAGTGAGGGCAAACCTGCTATTTCGAGATCAAGGTACTCCAGGCAAAGCCAGCATTCAGGTACCGACCGGGAACCTCCGGCTTCTGGTCCCAACTTGTCAAGGTCGGTGGAGGCCCCTATCACGAGGCCAAAAGCCGCACCCAAGCCGGGGGTAGCCCGAACCCCACCACCACCACCGCCAAAGCGGCAACGCACAGAGGCCCAGGCTGAGGAGGCCTCGCCAAGAGCCTCCGGTTCCAATCTGCAGGCTGAGGTGCCCTCGCCTTCCAATGCTGATGAACCAGGCCTAGCCTCCACAACCCAGGTTGAGCAGGTCTCGCCTGCACCAACCTCTCCTTTGGGGCCTGAGCAGGATGAGGTGCTGACCTCTCCTAAGCAGGAACCTGCCCAGAGTTCTCAGACTGAGGTTCCTTCACCGGCAACCAAGCCGGATACAGATGCTGGTGATCCAGGCCCGGCCGCCACAACCCAGGTTGAGAAGGTCTCGCCTGAACCGGCCTCTCCCTTGGAGCCTGAGCAGGAAGAGGTACTGACCTCTCCTAAGCAGGAGCCTGCCCAAAGCTCCCAGGTTGAGGTTACCTCACCGGCACCCAAGCCGGATACAGAAGGCCCGGCTTCCAAAATACAGGTTGAGAAGATCTCACCTGAGCCAGCCTCTTCTTTGGTGCCTGAGCAGGTTGAGGAACCCTCACCTCATCCAGATCCTGTCCCCAGTGACCAGGTTGAGGCAAACTCACCGGCCACCACCAAGTTTTCGGAGGAGGCTCCATCCCCAGCGGAGTCCCATTCAGGCCCAGATCCGGGAATCAAGGGCGAGGACATCAGAGGGGAACCAGGTCCGGAGGTTCCCTTGGAGCTTCTTTTCAAGCAGCCCCTGAAGATCCCGAGATCCCTCCGAGGCGTGTCCCTAAACAAAAAAGGCTCGTCTGGCACGCCTTGGACTACTTACACTCCGGCGGAGCTGGAGGACGAGCATGGAGGGGTATGGGCCGTATTGGGGGTAGGTGGCAGTCGTGTCACCTTGGAGCCCCCGGCTCAATGGGGACTTGGAGCCGAAGTTCAGGTCCTCAAGCTGGGGCTCGCCGAGGCCATGGACCAGGAGCAGATTTTTCTGGAGGGACTTTCCAGAGATTTCACCTTTATTCCTCGACCGGGGTCTTCTGGTGAAGTTCTGCTCACCTTGTCAGAGAATGGCCATGGCAGGGGTTTTTCCCTTCGTGCCCGCGCGGTTTTCTACAGGCGGGTCATCCCTGTGGCTTCCCCGCAGGGAAGGCTTAGGACACTTGATGTCCCGGACCTCCTGGCCTTGTTAAGTGTGGTCGCGTTTTTGTGTGCTTGCCATATCCGCTTGTCGGATCTTGGGGAGCACAACGTAGGTTGGGCCCTCCCGACCTTGGCGCGCACACGCGCCGAGAACATGGCGCTCCAAAGTGCAAAGCTGCGCTCGGCCGACTACGTGCAGGTTTGTTTGTACGACGGGGGCCGCTGGAGAGAAGCGCAGCACAAGCACTGGCCTGGAAAGGCGGCAACCAAGGGGCTCCTTGGCCTATGTGCCAAACATGAAATGTTTGGGCCATGGGTGGAAGAACAAATCCACCTCTATGGCTCCCCCGAGGTTTTGGCCAAGGTCTTCCTCCACCGCCTCCAGGACTTCCCGCACCACTTCGAGGGCTTAAAGGACTCGGGGTTCTTAACCTACCTCCCCTTGTGCTACAGGGTTGGTATGGTCATTCCCCTGAGCAACCCTTGGAGCAATCCGGATGATACAACCTGGCAGCTCGTTCCGATCCCAAGTTTGGACACCCCAACAGTTGAGAAACCCCTGAAGGGTTTTAAGGTGAGGTGACTCCCTTAAGCTTGCAAGCCGCTCCAGGGTGAGGAGACTCCCCTTTCCAGCTTTAATTCAACGAGCCAATTTGGTCACAAGCCTAAGTCTGCTCAAGGTGAGGTTACTCCCTTGCTCTACAAGCCAACAACGTGAGGAGACTCCGTGGACTTGGAGAAGCTACAAGGTTGAGACACCTCCCTTGCACCTTTTGTTGCCGCCTAGCTCAAAGTGAGGAGACTCCTTGGAAGGTAGGCTGAGGGCAACCGCAGTAGGCAGGTGAGCTCGACCAGTCTGTGCCGAGGGTGCTGTTTAAGGACATCACCTGATGTCAGACTGGTCTAGAGAAACTCGCCGCTCCCAAAGTGGACTAGGCTCCGAAATCAGGGTGAGGTGACTCCCCTAAAGCTTCGTCTCACCCTGACTCGAACTGGGCTCAGCCCAGCGGACCGACCGCTCGAGCGTGATTTTCAATCCTGGCTCAAGACTTTGCAGTGCCGACGTGGCCTTTTAGCCTGGAGTCCCTACTTTTGCTAAAGGCCCTGACTGGAACCCAAACCGCAACCTTAAAGGTCGTAGGCTGGCTGTCCAGCAAGGGTTGGGGCGGGGTAGCGCCATACTGCACGTGCTTTCAAGCCGAACACTTGCTCAGCCGTTGTCACAGGTTGAGCTTGCTCGCCATGACTTGGGGAAAAAACGGTGCCAAGGGTGCAGCAACGCCCTACATCGTCTGTCCTCACTGCTCTAGGGCGGGTAAGCAGAGCTGGATTTTCGTAGACAGAGTCCAGCACCACCCCTTTTGCAACCTGTGTGGTAACGCCTGGAAAACACAGGGTGCTCCGGTCACTCAAAGACTGCGCCCGCGGGGTCCCAAGAAGAACAGGGACAGAAGCGCAACCACTGAGAGTGCAACTCAAAGCCCCCAACGGCCTAGGAATCATGAGGGCAACCTCTCCAAAGCCGTCACGACTCTTTGGCAGAAGTTTCCCCCAGAGGTCCAGAAGGAACTGAGCGAGGCAGGTTTCCAAGCAGGCCGGCAGCCGAGTCCGCCTCCAGGCCTCCAGTCTGGAAAAGGCAAAGGGGCAAAGGTGGGCTTGACGAGCAGGCCGAAGCCTCTAAGAACCTGTGGGATTCCGCGTCTGATGATCAGAAGAAGCTGATGCGCCAAGCTGGCATCCCTGAGCCGGTGGCGTCGGAGCCAACAGACCTTGCGGCCCTTTGCAAGAAGCACTTGGAGTCATTGCCGCCTTCGATCCAGCAAGCCCTTGCAGCACTTGATCCTCCGGCCCCCACGCAGACTCAGCAGATTGAGATTGCAACTCGTCGCTTTAAGCAGAGCACTACGGACTTGCGACAGATGATCCAGCAAACTGCTGCTTTACAGATTCGCATAGACCGAGCCAAAGCAACCTACCAGGAGCTGCTTGAGAAGATGAAGGTTTGCCAATCTGATTTGCAGAGCAAGCAAGCTGAAGTCACGGCTATGCAGTCGGAGTTGGAAGCCGCACTCAGTGCTGATGCTTTGGGTCTGGAGGACCCCGCGCGCAAGGACGATCCCTTGGAAGGGCTTCTAGATACGCTTGCCAAAGTTGGGATTGTCCTGACCCAGGAGCAGAAGGAGCTTTACGAGGAGGCCCAGCGCGGTAAGCTTAACGATGGGCAGCAGAATATGGATGTTGAAGCCACAAACCAGCCTGGTTTGACGGCTCCGACCCGTGCCCCGCTGAGCCAAACTCTGCCAGAACACAAGGGCACTGAGCCGCATGAGCAAGCCAAGCCCAGGTCCAGGAGCCGAGGCCGTAGCACGCAGCAAGGTTAGGGAGTGGGGCTGGGGGTTCAGGTTAGGTCTGTTTTCGAGGAAGGTCCTTTAAGTGGGGACAGTGGGCAACCTGCTTGTGCATTTCAGCCTGCCCTTCTGCTTGATCAAGATGTTTCCTGTGCCCCTGCGTCCAGCTCTCAGCCCTGCGGGTTTTCCGGCGAATCGGTTAAGAGACCCATTTCTTTGTACAGTGATTTGTTTTCATTGGGGGAGTGCCAACCTCAGCAGCCCAAGTCCTTAGAGAAGGTTTCAGGGTATGTTGAGGCTTACTCACAATTTTGCAACACCGACCTTGTATGGGATCAGTTTTGGTTACCTGGTTTTTCTGGTAAGGAAGACTGGGATTCTTTTGGGGATTTGAGTGCCTGGCAGACCGTTGCCAAAGGATTACGCCACAGCACCCCGCTGCAGTCCCAAGACACCCAACTCATCACTGGACCCCAATTTTGGCCCCCGTCTTTCTCGACAACTGAGTTTGATGAGGTCCCTGTGACCGGTGCTTCTTCAATCTCTGCTTTTGTGGCCACAACCTCAGCAACGGCATCTCAAGTTGAGGAGTTTCCTCGCTTAAAGGCGTCGGGGAGCCACGCCGAGGTTGGGGTCACCCGCAAACGGAATAAAACCAGGCGCAGAGCGAAACAGCCCAAACACATTAGGGTGCCATTCTCTCAGCTTGCCCTTTGTGAGATGCCACCTGAGTTGCCACCGTCGGCAAGCCCACACAACCAGTGGCGAACACTCGAAGGCCAGGTGTGGGAGGCTGTCCAGAACCCAGGTCTGTTGGGAGCAACTTCGGAGTTGGTTGCCCACCTTCTTGATCAGGTTGAACAGGGCAGCTTAGGTTGGTGGCTGTGCCAAGAGATCTTGGCCCTCCAACGTTCTTTTGACTTGACTTTGCTCCTGCTTGTTGCTCGGGGCTTTGAAGTTTTGCGCAAATCGCAGCCACAGGGGCATAGGCAAATGCGAGTCACATCTTGCAACATCACTTCTTGGAGGCCTGAAGTCAAGCAATGGTTTTCAGCTCAAGGGGATGTTATCTTGATTCAGGAGCACCACCTTTTGGAGTCCCAAGTTGTTGCTGAAATTTCGTCTATGGCTGCCATGGGCTTTGACTCCTTCCTTGTGCCCGCAGCCCCTGGGGAAGGCCGACGGAATAGCTCTAGAGGCGGAGTAGGGGTTTTAGTTAGAGCCCACCTGGGAGCCCGTTTGCGAGGCCAGTATACCAACCAAGGTTGCGGCTACGTGGCGGTGACGCTACGCACACAAGGGGCTGACTTGACAGTAGTTAGCCTGTACCTCCAGTCCTCCTCCGGCTTCGGGTCCCCGGTCAACTCTGACATCCTAGCATCTCTGCGCGCAATTCGTCAATCTGTAAGGGGCCCAATCCTGAGAGGTGGAGATTGGAACTCGCCTTTGAAGGAATTGTTGGACACTGCCATTTTTCAAAGTTTGTCCCTTGAACCAATTGGGCCCAACAAAGCCACATGTGGTGACAATGAGCTTGATTTTCTGGCTGTATCACACTGCCTGGAAGGTTTGCTCCGGGTTGATGCCTCCTGGGATGTTCCTTTCAAGCCACATGCAGCAATCCAAGTTGCCCTTAATGTGGGCGCTTTCCAGCTCACCACTCCACAGCTTCCCTCCTTTGTGCTTTCCTTCAGGGAAGAACCGCTTGATTACATGCAGGTTGAGGAGACCCTCGCCTCTTTGCCCGATACCACCTTGTCGGCTGACCCCCTGAGCAATCGACTGGCTTCCATTTCCAGCTCGGTGGAGCACAGTCTTTTGCAAACGTCCCAGGGTATTGGTCGCCAACTCCAAGTTGAATTCCTCCCAGCTGTTCCTCGCATGTCCCAGTTCGCATGGGAAGGCTCTTGCCAGGCTTTTTGGCACCGGGTACAATTTCTGTGCCAGGGAGACCACCCCAAACGTCGAGAGCAATGCCAGGAGTATTTGCCGCAGATCCTGGACCACTGGCAGGGCAACTCGGAGGAGGCTGTTTCCTTTCTTTCTACGCTCCAGGCCTGTCTCTCGGAGCAGGCAGCTGTTCCTGAGCCCGTCCAGCAATTATTGCAGGAGCAATTTCTGCTGGCCTCTAAAGTTCACCAGGATGCCCAGACCAAGTCGTACAGGTCGTGGTTGCAGGGAGCCCAAGAAAAAGGGATGGCTCCCCTTTTCAAGACGATCAAAAAAGGTGAAATCACCACTGCACGTCCCTTTCGGGATCTGTCCGCAGAGGTCCGCGCCCTGGCTAGAACCAAACTATGGCTCCGCACTTGGAAAGGCGTACTTAGAGTTGAGGACCTTCCTCCTCTTCCACACGCAGAGCAACAGGCTCGCGGAAAGCTACGGGAACTGGCTGCTCAGCAGGTCGCTACCCTGAGCCCCATTTCCCCGGAACAGCTGCAACAAAGGTTTTCCAAAGGCAGGGTCACTGCCCCAGGACCGGATGGCTGGAGCAAGTCCCTTCTCAAGAAATTGACTTGGCCAATGCTTCAGGACATCGCTGAATTTTATCAGGAGCTCGAAAGAGGCCTCCGAGTCCCGCAGCAGTTTCTCCTGACACAAGTTTGTATGCTGCCCAAATCGGCTACTGCTGAGAGACCTATCTCTTTAACTCACGTTTTGTGAAGGGACTACTGCAGAGCCAGGTGGTCCCTGATCCAAGAGTGGACGGTCTCCTACCAGGCCCTGGCTCCTTGGGATGCCGCAGTGCCAGGACGAACATCACTAGACATCGGCATCCGCCGTTTGCTGTGGGCCGAAGCCTCCCGAACTCAGTCCAAACACTTTGTAGGACTCTTTCTTGATATCAAAGGCTTCTATGATTGTGTTGTTTGGGCCTCGGTAGTCGACACCGGACTCCTACTGCAGTTCCCACCTTTGCTTTTGGAGCTTTCCCTTCAAATTTATGGTGGGACACGATTTGTCTCAGCCGAAAATTCAGTTTCGCCGGGAATAATTCCCACAGTTGGGTTGCTTCAGGGTTGCCCTGTTGCGCCGGTGGTTTCGAAACTGGCTTTGTTTGTCCCAATCAGGGACCTTCAGGCTACTGGCCTCACTCACAACATAGACCAGTGGCTGGATGACATTTCGGCTGACGTGGTAGGTTCCACTGCTTCTAACACGGCTCACAAAGCCCTCAAGACATTTCGTATACTGCGAGATTCTCTCGCGGAACGAAATCTTCAGGTTTCCTTGGAGAAAACCAAGTTTCTTTGCTCAGATTCTGCCACCTCTCAAGTTCTTGAGCGTCTGCGTTCGGACCAAGATCCTGGCATTACTCTGTTAGCCAAAGACTTAGGGGTTGACAGCAATGCTGGCAGACGCCGCAGGCTTGCCACCTCTCTTGGCAGGCACAAGAAGGCGCAAGGCCGCCACAAGCGCCTTCGTGCTTTAGGTGTTGATTCGCATTGTTCACGCACTAGGGTTGTGCGCGGATCCATCATGACATGTGCCACCTATGGCCATCAGGCACAGGGTGTTAGCCCCAAACGGTTGAAATGGCACCGCGCTGTGCTGGCTGGTAGCTTAGGACGCCAACATCTTGGAGGAACCCTGACCGTCTTGGAGATGTTCTCCCACAGATTTCCGGATCCCCGAGAGCAGATCATTTGTGAGCATTTGCAAGTCTTCCTTCGTATTCTGGGCCGTTCTCCTTCCATTTGGGCGGAAGTTCAAAGGTCCTGGCCCTTGGTCAAATCCAGGTTGGAGGCTTCGCCTCACCCTTGGAAAATCGTTGCCGGACCCATTTCGGCCATGATTCAGTATGCCAGGGACATGGGATGGGATGTCCAGTCCCCGGAAGTCTGGCATATTGATGGCCACCCCTGGCCCGTTGACTTCAGCCCCTTTCTTTTTCAGGAGCTGCGGCGCAAGATTCGGTCTACCATCAAGGGCGAAAGATTGCGAGCCATCTCTTGCCAACATGGCGGTCAAGGAGCTCAGGATGGTGTAGATTTTACAATTCATCGCCGCATTGCTTTAAAGAAGACCAAACGTCTGACCTTCTACCGGTCAATCTGGCAAGGAGCAGTTGTGCATGCGGGAAGTGGTGGCCACCCCAAGTGCCCTTACTGCAAGGATCGGGGCATTGAGTCAGACAACACACTACAACATGTGCTGTGGGACTGCCCTAGATGGGCTAGACAGCCAAAGCTTCCCCGGCATCTTGAACAAATGCGTCAGTCCCATCCTGCGCCCTGCCTTTGGTTGCGAGCCCTTCCCCCTCTTGCCTACGTCTCCTCGCCACTTCAGAACGCTGAGGATAGGTATGAGGGCACCTGGCCGTCACAGACCTGGGACTCGGATTTTGTCATTGGCACCGATGCCAGTGGTGGCAAATTCTCTTCCGATCCCAGATTGAGGACCATTGGATGGGCTGTGATTCTAGCACGTAAAACGGGCCAAAGCATCACAGTCATCGCAACTGCGAGCGGGGTTTTGCCTCGGCCGGCCACGGTTCTAGATGGGGAGGTCCATGCCATTGTCAAGGCCCATGAGCTTTGCCCGGGCCTGACGGATCTTACTACAGATTCTCGGGTAGCTTGCAAGCAGGCCGCAGCTAAGGCGGTTACATCCAAGCATTCCATGTTTTGGAAACCCCAATGGCAGAGCATCTCCCCACAACACCTTCATTGGGTCAAGGCCCACTTGGATGTAGAAAAATTTGCTGAAAAGTTTGGAAAAGACGAGGTTTGGCGTTGGCATTTGAATCAGGAAGCTGACCAGCTTGCCGGGTCCAGGGCTGACCAAGCTTTGCACCCTGATGCCAGAAAGCAAGTCCGGCAAGTTGACACGCTGGTTTCCACCCTTTCCCAGCTACTTAGTCAGAGGGCGGAGATTTTGATTACTACGCAGGATAAGAAGACTATTTTCTGCAAGCGCCAGCCAAAACCTCCAACCCTTAACAAAAGGCAGCAGATTGAGCAACTCGTCAGCCAAACCGTATCTCCGCAGGGACACCAGTGGGAAATTCGGAGTCAGCACCCGACGAACCTCACAGCCATGTGTGGGAAATGTGGCCTTTACCTGCAGCAAGTGGACCCTCCGTCACTGTTCCAGCAGGTCCTTGCACAGCCGTGCCTAGGAGGGGAAGGTCGTCCCCCGGAGCACCTGGCCTGTCACTCCTCCCATCAGCTTGTTTCCATTGGCAAAGCTTGGCAGTGTAAAGTGTGTGAAGGCATTTTGCCAGCGCGGGCAAAGAAAGTCCCGGGGCTCCTCCAGTCCCTGTGTGTGACCCGTAAACACACTAACAAACTGACTAAGTTCACCAAGAGTCTGTTAAGTGGTGTAGGGGTTCCGGAGTCACTACCTGCTTCCAAGAAGGCTAGCAAGCTTTCTAAGGAGACCCTCCCAAAAGCCCGAAACCTTAGCAACTTCTTTGCAACACCACTTAACAGGGTTGAGGCCACTCCCCTGCAAACCCTCACTTCCGACGACCCTCCCTTGCAGAACATGGTCAGGATTGAGCCTCCCTCTCCTGCTGTCCGCGATCACCGGGATTCTTGTAGCCCGGAGCTTGGAGACTTAAGGGCTGCTGGCTCCATTGTTCGCAAGGTGAAGTTCCAAAATCCATCCAATCATTGTTATACCAATTCTTTGGTGGTTGGTTTCTTTTGGATTGATCTGCTCCTTTATGCCTCCAGCCCCTTTGCTGGATCCCCCATCCAGGGCATTCTGCGATGGTTGAAAGATCAACGCAAAGTCGAGCTGTGGCAGTCCCTGGTTTGGAAGAGATTAGTTGCAGGCCAGGGTCGATGGGAATCCCCAAACAGCCAGCATGATGTTTGTCAACTTCTCATGCACCTTTCTTCGGGGTTTCCCCGTGACCTCTCTTGCGTTTCATGGAGAGCTCGTGCTCCCAATGCACCTCACCACGAGGGTAACTTTTTCCCACTTCCTCTTCACCTCCCGGAGCACGAAGTCTCTATGAGGGAACTCCTGGCAAGTTGGCAACAAGGTGGAGAAGTGAAAATCCTCACTCACCCGCCTTTGATTGCATTGCAGCTTTTGAGGTTTGTTGGGGACGGGGGGGGTTTTCGGAGGCTCGAGAACCCAGTTGGTTTTGAGGATCCTTGTGTGCTTGAGGGATTGGATGGGGAACTTCTTCGTTACTACCCCAAGGCCGTGGTCTCGCATTTTGGCAACTCCCCGACCTCTGGACATTATCGTACATTACTTCTCCCCTCCAAGCTTATTACTGATGATGGGGTAGGTGCTGTTTGCGCCAAGCCTGCAGATGTAGCCTGGTCTAAGTGCTACTCGTACCTGGTTTTGCTAACCCTCCATGTCTGAGCCTTCTCGCAGCTTTTGGCTCCAAGATGGGTAAAGGAAAAGGGAAGAACAAGCCAGGGAAGGGGCAGAATGCCCCTTTCGAGGACCCGGTAACGGAACAGCGGTACCAGGCCCTCTTGCAGCATCGTTTTAGTGAGGGCAAACCTGCTATTTCGAGATCAAGGTACTCCAGGCAAAGCCAGCATTCAGGTACCGACCGGGAACCTCTGGCTTCTGGTCCCAACTTGTCAAGGTCGGTGGAGGCCCCTATCACGAGGCCAAAAGCCGCACCCAAGACGGGTAGCCCGAACCCCACCACCACCACCGCCAAAGCGGCAACGCACAGAGGCCCAGGCTGAGGAGGCCTCGCCAAGAGCCTCCGGTTCCAATCTGCAGGCTGAGGTGCCCTCGCCTTCCAATGCTGATGAACCAAACCTAGCCTCCACAACCCAGGTTGAGCAGGTCTCGCCTGCACCAACCTCTCCTTTGGGGCCTGAGCAGGATGAGGTGCTGACCTCTCCTAAGCAGGAACCTGCCCAGAGTTCTCAGATTGAGGTTCCTTCACCGGCAACCAAGCCGGATACAGATGCTGGTGATCCAGGCCCGGCCGCCACAACCCAGGTTGAGAAGGTCTCGCCTGCACCGGCCTCTCCCTTGGAGCCTGAGCAGGAAGAGGTACTGACCTCTCCTAAGCAGGAGCCTGCCCAAAGCTCCCAGGTTGAGGTTACCTCACCGGCGCCCAAGCCGGATACAGAATGCCCGGCTTCCAAAACACAGGTTGAGAAGATCTCACCTGAGCCAGCCTCTTCTTTGGTGCCTGAGCAGGTTGAGGAACCCTCACCTCACCCAGATCCTGTCCCCAGTGCCCAGGTTGAGGCAAACTCACCGGCCACCACCGAAGCTCCATCCCCAGCGCAGTCCCATTCAGGCCCAGATCCGGGAATCAAGGGCGAGGACATCAGAGGGGAACCAGATCCGGAGGTTCCCTTGGAGCTTCTTTTCAAGCAGCCCCTGAAGATCCCGAGATCCCTCCGAGGCGTGTCCCTAAACAAAAAGGGCACGTCTGGCACGCCTTGGACTACTTACACTCCGGCGGAGCTGGAGGACGAGCTTGGAGGGGTATGGGCCGTATTGGGGGTAGGTGGCAGTCGTGTCACCTTGGAGCCCCCGGCTCAATGGGGACTTGGAGCCGAAGTTCAGGTCCTCAAGCTGGGGCTCGCCGAGGCCATGGACCAGGAGCAGATTTTTCTGGAGGGATTATCCAGAGATTTCACCTTTATTCCTCGACCGGGGTCCTCTGGTGAAGTCCTGCTCACCTTGTCAGAGAATGGCCATGGCCGGGGTTTTTCCCTTCG